CAACAAAAAAAAACGCGTGGTAAGATAAAAGGGCCCAAAATCCCTGCGATACCTCGATGGGAAGAATTCGCACATCTGCAGCAGAATATCGAGCGAAATGATTGCGAGCTCGCTGAAGTTGTACAGAATTGGGCCAGCTGATTTCTCGTCGTTTGTCGCACAAACCTAAGCAAAAGAGCTATAGAAAACAACAGTCCGAACCGTCCATCGGAACTGCGGCACCTTCTTCAATGCATCCCAGTTATCCATTCCGGAGGCCCAAATGTATGTGTCGGCGGTGAGCGTTTTTTCCTCGAACATTTCCTTCATCTATAGGAGGCATTTTTTTTGAAAGCCGGCACAAATTTCTGATTTTGTAGCGACATTTCGAAACAAAGAACGATGAAATTCATAATGTTGGCATAAACAAACCTACCGGAACATCTCCAGTAGGACTTAACAAAAACCTCGGAATTATGAAGTTAAATTTAAAAAGTTCGTTTTTGAAAAAGCTGTATTAATTTAATTTAAAAATATTGGTATTAGGAACTTTACATTTTGGAAGAAAGCACAAATTTAATACCTTCTCGAACGAGAACGGGCCATGCTGCTGGTCTTTCCCTTCTCGGTAATACCATTCAGTGGCTCCTTCTTTTCCAGTGTCGGTTGACGCTTCGATGAGATTGCTCTGAATTCAAAAAATAAATAATATTTGTCGGTGAAATCTAGTAAAGCAAATTACCCGCCGAGAAAGACACCAAAATAGTTTTACCTGATTCTTGAGCACTGCTCGATGGGTGTGCAGATGCGCTAGCGTCGCCAAATCGACAAGATGCCGGACGATATCCGCGGCCAAGAGTTCCCGGACATTTGCTTTGTTCAACACGAGCTTGCTCAGCAAAAATAACTAAAAAACTAATTTACTTTTTTGTAGGTTTTGATACTAAATGGTCCCGCTCGGCCACAGCAATCGTCGTGTATTGGAGTACGGTGACGAAATGGTTGATATCGGCCACAGGGCCAATCGTCATATGGTGCCGTCCGTATGAGATGGCCATCGCCTAGCAAGCCTTATACCTGCAAAAATAAGAAATTCACTTTCAAGCATTGACATCGCATTTCACTCCGTTGGGCCAGCAAATAACGATGGTAGACATTGTTGAAAAATTCCACCCTAAACAATATTACAGTATGAAAAATATTGCGTACGGATTGTGAATTGGAGTGGCGTTTTCATCAGTCTCCGATAGCAGTTGCCGAAGAAAGTAGTCGCCGACACGGATTTCGTTGGCCAAACTTTTATAGGCGACGGTGAATTCCGTGTGATTCCAGCTGATTAGAAGGCCAGAGGCCGCCTCCTTCTCTGTCTTTAGAATACGCTTCTCATTCTCGATCGCGCTCCTAAGTCGAATTTCAAAGAAAAAAAACTTTGACGGTACCTAAACTCTCCACGCGTTTCCTCGTTCCAGATGAGATTTGCTTTGCAGTGATTTTGTCCAAATTCATAGGCAAATAGCTTCCAATTGACCGTTGGTCTGACACGGGCTCGTCTTCTTCTCAGCACGACAATCCCTTTGTCTTTTCGTGGCTAAAAAGATAGCTATTTCAGCTGAAACGACCGCTTACATCTTCTTTAGCCGGTATCAGCCTGAAGTTGAGCTTCTTTTCCAAATCCCAGTTATGGATGAAGCGCTCGAGGTGGGCTTCGGCAGCATTTCTAAATTCCAAAATGCGTTTGGCTCAAAAATTTTTACCTCATCCCTTCCATTCTCTCAAGGATGGCATTCCTGCGTTGCAGCTCGTCTGCGGCCTCTTCGAGGTTATTCCTCGGCAAAAGCAAGTCGGCTTCATTCACAGGGACCTCAGCGTCCGATTGCAAAAATTCCAAGAGCCCACGCGGCTAAACAAGTCGTAAAAAGTTGTTTAAAGCAAACACACGATGGATCTGTTCATCAAGTCATTCGCCGAATGGTTGTCGACAAGCCAAAGGCTTAGCAAATGGCCAGAGAGCTGCTTGTTTGTCTTCACCTGAAAATATATGGTTTTGGCTTATTTCGTGCATCATACTCTGAGATCATTGCCAGTAGCGAGGAGTGAGAATTCGAGGTGCGCCAGGAAAGAACCCTCGCTGAGCGCCAGAATTTGCATAGCTTTTGAAGTTTCGACATCGGCTTCTTCGATAATGGCTCGCATCACCATGCCGGCACCTAAAAGCGGTTAGATGAAGTAGATCATTAAATGGCTCGCCTTTGATTATTGTCATACTCGGCGATTGAAATAGCGTGTAGAAACTGCGTCCACGAGATGCGACAAGTCTACAGGAGGTTAGATCTCAACTAAAGCTCTTACTTCAAGATCACGTCGAATGTGTCGCCCTGCGTGGTCTCGGAAAACGGAGCGCAAACGGCATACGTCAGAAAATCGAGCATAGAAGCAATGACAAGCGAACCTGTGTTTCTTTCCTAAAAAGAATTCAAGTCAATAAACGCGAGCTTTACCACATGCTTCACAATCAAATCTAGAAGATGCTCCACAAATTGAGAGCTAGAGAGTAGGCTTTGCTTGTTCAGCTGTTCAACCCTCAGCTCGTAGTGGTTGTGCATAGGCCTCATCAAGGCGCAAATCGCCTCGACGATGGCATAATCGACAGCCTAAAGAATTTATGGTAGAGCCATCCAGCCCTTACCTCGTTTTTCCATTGTAAGCATCGCACGACCAAATTTCCAAACTTCTCGCGAATCCCTGGAACCTCAGTGAATGCGTGGAAGCCACTTTTTGAGGCGAAGAGCCTTCGGATGCACTGGAACTGCGATTCCACATGATGGACAGCGCTTAGGTCTTCCTAAAAAAGATCTCTTTTGCGCTGCATTTTAAACCTTTGTATACTGCTCCAACAGCACGGCCTCCAGACACTGCACGATCACTTTGCCCTTGTTTTCGGTAAAGAAGCCCTAAAATAAACAGGTCAACCTCTTCATAGAAGTTCCTACCTCCTGATTGACCGCGTAGGTCAGCCCGTTGTAAGGGATGTTGGCATTGAAGCGTCGTATTAGGTGAGCGCGCTTGAGACCGGCTAAAACGGGGGTTAATTTGACAAATGGCAAGAACTGACGTGTCGGTGCAATAATGTGTCTCATTAATTGGGACTCGGCATCTTCATCAAGCAATCCATGCAACGGAAGAAGCCGCATCGAACGATCAAAACGGTGGCCGATGACAAAGACCTGAACGAAAATTTATTGCAGTCTCGAAAAGTACTACTAAAATTGCTACTAACTTTGCGCTTGCCAATTTTTTTATTTGCTCTATTTTTACCTGATTGTTCCCTCCAGCTCGGGCTCCATCAACCAAAGACGCCAAAATGAGATCACGATCCGGGGCCGAGTATTCAATCTCGCGACCGTCGCGCAGTTGGACGACGAATTGTTGTGGATCTTTATCCAAGCGGACCAGGCAGACGATCTAAAAAAACGTCTTTCTTCTCCAAAGCACGACCCCTCACCTGATTCAGAGGTGTCGCACAGATCACGTGGTAGCTGCTCTGGTCTCTTTCAATCAAGCAAACTTCCGAAAGGCAGAGCAAACGGCGTGCACTCGGGACATGACGTGGAGAGAATTTTTGCACGTTGAATTCCACGTATGACGTTAGCCGATCGTCCCGGCTAAGAATATATTTTTATAGTTTGGACGGTCTGCATACCTGCACAGACCCAATCTAGTCAGACGCGCGTCATCCAAGCTCATCGCCTCTCTTGCTAGAGGAATCGCGATTCCGATATTATCCATAGCCCATCTTTTGGCTTCTTCCAAAAATGCGTCACAATCTTTGGCGGCGAAAATATGCTGCAAAAACGTTTAGATCCTAAAAAAGCCACAAACCCGTCTTCGATGTTCCCCACATTCGATCACGAAACCGCCAGGACAATCGTGAAGCTAAGAAAGTTCAATAGTAAAATTTTCGATGAAGCATACCTTGGTAAAGCCACGAATATTTTTGAAGAAATAGGTGGTGATGGGGGCGCCGTTCCCATTCAGCTGCTCGATGCCATAAGGGACCAGCCTCAAGCGAGTCGGAATCCTGTTGCCTGTCCATTGTTCTTTTACGCCGGTGGCGACCTAAAATTAAGTAATCAAGGATTCCCAAGCGGTCGGTTACCATCAGTTGTGTCGGTCTCTCTGCGAAATGGACATATTTCTTGAGGCAATCGGTGATTATGTCGTGTAGGTGATCTGACGAGAATCGCATGCTATCACGTTTATCCTAAAAAACGGCATAAACGCTAAATGAGCCTGTGCACCTTCTTCCGGTAATTGATGACAAATTCATCCTGCGTGTTGTTGGCATTCCTTGGTGAGGGTCGGATCGAGATGAAGTCTTGGTACATCCATTGATTCGTTGCTTCAAGCGTCTGTGGGTTGTACGTGGTCACGCAGTGAGTACCGACCGAGAAGACTCTTTTATACCTCAAAAAACCGATTTAGAATAAAGTCTAGGACCCACTTTCCCTTCCAAGAGAGCTTCGTCACCAGATAACACGCGACGTCGCGGTTTTCTGCGCAAAAGCTCGCCGCCATTCGTTGAGCACTCGCATGCGGCGGGGCCTGAAAATGATAAAAATAAAAATAAATAAAAGGTAAAAATAAGTGAGAATACGGAATGAAAAACAGCACAGAACAATGCCTTCATTTTATTCGATAAATTTATAATTTATCAAATAGAGTGAAGTACCCCAAAACTGGCTTTTTGATGAAAAAAAAGGGTCCAATGTCTAATTGTAAATTCACCTGTGAATTTTTCACCTGCAAATTTCCCATTTTTCGATAATAAAGAGTCGGTTTTCACCCGGAAGTCGAGAAAAACTGACGAGAAAACCAATAAATCCTGTCACCCCTATCCAGTGCACCCACCCATACCGTAACGCACCCTCCACTGCCCCCGAGCCGGTTTTCAGCCATTTCGAATTATTTTCTGTTCATCACCGATCGAGCCACATATTATCGCCGAACGGACATTCGAAACGATGATCATCAATACCGAAGGAGACTGGAAGTCAACGGTCAAGGCACCGCCCAAGGACTTGCGCATGAAGACCAAGGTTTGCTGAAAATTTCACCTGGCCATTACCCCCGTTTTAGGATGTCACCTCGACAAAGGGACTGGAATTCGAGGATTTTCAACTGAAACGCGAGCTGCTCATGGGTATCTTCGAGAAAGGCTGGGAGCAGCCGAGCCCCATTCAAGAGGCCTCAATCGGATTGGCGCTGAAAGGTTTGATCCTGCAACTTTTGTTGATTTTTTGTGATTTAGGGCATGATGTGCTTGCTCGTGCGAAGAATGGTACCGGGAAGACGGGCGCTTTCGCGATTCCGCTCATCCAGAAGCTGGACGTGAAGTTGGACAAGATTCAAGGAATGGTCATCGTGCCGACCCGCGAGCTTGCCCTTCAAACCTCGCAAATTTGCATGGAGCTTAGCAAGCACATCAACGTGAAGGTCATGGTCACCACGGGCGGCACCGATCTACGTGAAGACTTGATGAGGCTGAGCGGTGTGGTCCACCTCATCGTCGCTACGCCCGGTCGCATCCTAGACTTGACCGAGAAGGAAGCAGCTGATCTGTCCGAATGCAAGACTGTCGTCTTGGACGAAGCAGATAAGCTGCTCTCGCAAGACTTCCAGGTATTCCGAATACTTTTTGCTATTTAATGTTTTGATATAGGGCGTGCTGGACCGCCTTTTCAAGTACCTTCCCAAGAAGGAGGATCGCCAGACCATGCTTTTTTCGGCCACCTTCCCCAACATCGTGGAATCCTTCATGCAGAAGCATATGACCAACCCGTACGAGGTCAACTTGATGGAGGAGCTGACGCTTCATGGCATCACGCAGTACTACGCCTACGTCCGCGAAGGGCAAAAGCTGCACTGCCTCAATACCCTATTCAAGAAGGTATTTTTTTTATTCTCCGGCAATTTATTTAGTTGCAAATCAACCAATCCATCATCTTCTGCAACTCTACCCAGCGTGTGGAGCTACTCGCCAAGAAGATAACCGAAATCGGTTATTCCTGCTACTACATTCATTCGCGCATGTTCCAACACCATCGCAACCGGGTCTTCCACGACTTCCGTCAAGGCAATTGTCGCAACCTTGTTTGCTCTGATCTCTTCACTCGCGGTATCGACGTCCAAGCTGTGAACGTGGTCATCAATTTCGATTTCCCGCGAAATGCGGAGACTTATCTACACAGGATTGGAAGGTAAATTTTCTTTGTCTCTCTTCCAAACCAAATTCTAGGTCGGGCCGTTACGGACATCTGGGCCTTGCCATCAACTTTGTCACTGACGAGGATCGCACAAACCTGTTCCGTGTTGAAGCCGAGCTTCGCACCCGCATCGCCCCGATTCCGAGAGAAGTCGACCCGAAGCTTTACGTTGCCGAGCACCAAATCGTTACAAGTGATGAGGACAGGACGGACAGCCCATAATCTCTTGATTGCGTGGCTTCTTGTTGTTAGTTTGTCTTGTACTAATTATTTGTAACTTTGTAAAGTTCCTCCAACGTTTTCATTTTGCTTGCCCGACGACCTTGCACATGCACTTTCAAGCGTTTCTTATTCGTTGTAAGTGTGATATGCTATGGTTCATTTTATTCCCCATGTTTGCGAGTTCTTTGCAAATGTTTCTCGAAACAGTTCTTGCAATAAATTGTTTTTAACCGACGACAAGAAGCAGAAAAAGCGCAAATTGTAAGGTGCAAAGAACGGTTTCAAAAGATATCTCAAAGGCTAAATGGAGCTTATTACGTGCAATAGATTGGCGATAGTAAGGAAAGGAACGGGCTGGTGACTGTTTGACAGTGCCACCGGGGGCTCACTATTACGGCGTGGTACTCTAGGCTCGTGCTTAGTAGCCCATTGCATTTCCCGTCGTGTCGTTTCCTTGCTTTTGGGACCAAGGGTCCATATTTTCAGCAGCTTCGGCCGACGACAAATATGTCTACACGTCTAGCGCGACTTTGGCAGCCCGGGAATCCACAGAGACGGGTACATTTGTCTTTGAGTTGATTTACGGACATTTTAGGTTTTCCTGCCGGACTTTTGGTTGACCCCGGTCGAGACTCCGGAAGTCGGGCGGTACCGCTTGCCGACAAACTGTGTGAAATTTGAGGTTTCTTGTCTTCGCCCGGATCAACCAGATTTTTAGGTTGATACCCGAATGAGCCGGCACGATGTACGCGAATATTTGACAAAAATTTATAAACTACCGGTGCAAGATGTGAGGATTGAAATGAAAATGGGCGAAATCTCGTGGCAAAACAAGAAGGTATTGTTATCATCGCAAATTAATTTAGACTTTAGGATCCGCGATATAAAACGGCGCTATGGAAGGACGAGGACAAGAAATTCGCCTACGTCTATATGGATAAGAAGTTCACGTTTGAATGGCCGAAAATGTTCGAAATCGACGACGAGATGAGCCAAATTGAGAAATACAAGGTTTGATCGATAGCTATTGTTTTTGTAACGGCTGTTTTTAGAGCCAGATAGACAAACTACAGCAGAACGCTCGATTTGTGAACCGGGATCGGGCGAATGTTGGAGAATTCTTCGGCTTATAGATTCGTTGGAGATTAGGATTCAGCAAATAAATATTTTTGACCGGATTGTATCAAGAGACAACTGTTCGCTGCATTCTATCTGCAAGTTGATGAACGTGAATAACACTGTCACAGGGCGGGCGACGCAGATGACGGACGCACAGTACGCTCCTTTCTCAGGAGCGCTAGTGAGGACGTTGACAGACAAGCTCTATGACAAGAGAAAGGCGGCCGCGTTAGATGTAGAAAAGTGGGAATTCAGCTTCTGAAAAAAATGAGTTTGTAGGACCGTTCGCGACCTCCATGCCCAAAATCAAAACACGCAGGTGGAGAAGGCTCTGATCGTCTTGCGAGAGCTTGTCCTTGCCAATGTTGGCAATACCCGTAAGGGAGGGCTGATTGGCATGGCAGCTGCGGCTATTGCGTTAGGAAAGGTGAGGACAGGCGATTATTCACAGTTTTTGCAGAATTCGTCGAACTACTCTACGCAGCTGATTGAGCCGGTCCTCGACTGCTTTAACGATCCAGACCTCCAAGTCCGATATTATGCGTGCGAGGTAAGCCTAGAAACTATTTTAATTATTTCACTATTCAGAGCCTCTATAACATTATCAAAATGTGCAAAGTATCCTGCCTCCTACATTTCGAGCAGATATTCGATGTACTCTGGAAGGTATGCTGCGTCTCGGGATTGCCTTTAATTTTTTTTAGCTTTCTTCGGATACAGAGCAAAACGTTCGAAGTGCAGCCGAACTACTGGATAGACAAGTGATGGTAAAGGCCGGCACAGTTGACGTGAATTCGTAAATTTAGGATATTGTGTGTTCCAAATCGGACTTCAACGTAGCGAATTTGATGGGTCTGATTCGTGGGCGTATCTATGTGCAAGTATCATCGAATCGGCGTTTTCTCGTGCAATGGGTAGGCCTCATCGCCGCGATCGTACGCTGAATTTAGTTGAACGTGCTATTGACAACACCAACCTTTTCTTGCCTTCCATTCCTTTCGGAGGTCCTGGATGGATTGTTCAAGATGCTCGGTAGATTTCGTTCCATTTCAGCCAATCGAATTTAGGAGATCCGCAAGCCGCTGTCCGTGATTCTACCGAAACCGTAATGGGCCAATTCCTTCTGGGAATCAAGAACAAACCCGAGTCAATTGCTGATGTAAGGGTTTCCTTTGAAATCCAAAGAATTTTATTGCTATTCAGGATGATCTCCTAACCCTGATCAACGTAATCTGCGTCCATTCACACGAGGAAGAGCCACCGCTATCACGAAAAGTAGCGTTGATCTGGATGCAAGAAATCGCCAAGTAAGTGGCTGGCTATTTAACTTAATCCGAAAAATAGGTTGTACAACACAAAGCTACTCCCACAATTGGCCGTATGCTTGGTGGCAATATTGCCGGCGTTGGCGGAAGATGCGTTAAATGGTAAGCGTATCTATCATACTTTCTCTGAATTTTATTTAGCTAAAATCGTGAATACCACGCTGCTTGGAATTATTGAACCCGATGTGGATATGAATATGGAGGATCTGGTCCAAGTAGGCTCCTCTCAATTATTGTACAAAGATCTTCAGATCCTACTGAGGCATCTCCGACATCCAGTACAGGAGACACGACTTGCTTCACTCAACTGGATCCGGCATCTCCATGAAAAACAACCCAATCAGGTTGCTTTGGTGATTTTTAAATTAATTATTTTGTAGCTCTTCTCGCATATGGAATTGATCTTTCCACAACTGCTAAACTCGCTGTCGGATACCAGCGATGAAGTGTTGCTGCTTGATCTACACTTGATATCCGATCTTTGCGCTCACAAGTAAGCATCCGATGACTTCTGAAGATGACGGTTTTAGACAAGATTCCGCAACAGAACTCGGCAGCCTCGATCCGAAGACCAAAGAGCAGGTGAATTGTTATGTGCTTTTTTCTATGTAACTTCGTCAGCTAGCAAACCACTCGAGTCTACTCGTCAAGTTCGCTATTTCGCTGATTGCCATGTTTCGTGCCGACCGCCAATTGTTGAGCGATAGGGGTGTACTAATTATAAGGTAAAATCCTATCTTTACTACCACTTCCTTCCAGACAATTGTGCTTGTTGATCGAGCCGACTCACATCTACAGATGCCTCTGTGTGTTACTCATGGCCGAATCGGGCGTAGCGTTTGTACAAAGTAAGGTTATTTTTGCTTGAATCCAGCCTACTTCTATTTAGGTGTGGTGTCGGTGCTTCATTCTGTTCTAATGACGTCTACGGAGCTGTTTTTGATGCGCGATCAATTGCGGAAAATGCCGGATGAGGTTTTACACAGGCTCAATTTTCGAAGCTCATTTAGGAGACTGCTGCATTATTTTCAACAATCTACAAATGTTGGGCTATTCGTCCCATTTGTCTTCTTGGACTATGTCTGCTCACTCAACAGTACACTCATGCCGCAGAGCTCGTGCATTATTTGTCGGAGGTAATTTAATGAGCCGAATTTACGATATAGATTCTTCTTCTTTCAGGTAGACATCACCGTCGATATTTTGATGGAAGTTGATAAGCTTGTCAATTTGATCGAGAGCCCGATATTGGCTTGTAAGTAGTTATATTAAAGCAAAAACCCTTTCTCTGCAGTCGTTCGTATGGATCTACTACGAGCCTGTCATCGGGAGCCTCTCTGCGATGTGCTAACAGCTTTGTTGATGTTACTTCCCCAGACGGAGGCCTTCAATACCCTACACAAGCGCATCCAAGCCATTCCCTCGTTTAGTACTTTCAAGTAATTCTATTTTCATTTTTACAATTGTCTTTTGTCCAGGAAAGACGCTCCACCAGCCGACAAATTCAACCTGAACTTGTCTGCTTTGAAGAATCTCTACATTGATTCACTGCAGAAGCAACAAAAAGAGGTTATTTACTTTTTTCAGCAAAGATTATTTATTTTGAAGGTCCGTGAGCGTCATCGCTCCCTGCTCATCAGGAGCGCTCTAGGCGAAAAAGTCCAGCTGTAGTCATGAATTGTCCCCAGTGAGTTGTGTCATTATTTATATTTTTTTTGCATTTGCTTATTCTGCTATGTGATCTGTAGCTTGTGATTGTTTCCATCTGTGATCTGTGATATACTTTCTGTGCCTTATGAGTTTAATAAATCATTTTCTAATCCTAAGCTTACTTAAACCATTGGTTGAAGGTCCGTAAGTCCCTTTAACGGCTTGGTGGGGATTGGCAAAAGAAAACCTCTCTTTCAGATAATGCCCCCATGCGGCCAGAGTGATGTCATCGCGTAGGTCCTCTTCTTTGCCGTTTAGGGCCCATTGCATCCTCCCGCCCCTCCCTCTTCCAGACTTCCATTTCAACCTCCAGCGACCCGGTGGGGGCTTGCCCATCGTCGATTCCTGACACCCATTTTGCAGCTTCCAGCGGCCCCGTAACTGCAAGGGTTTTTTAGTTCTGGTTCGTGGGTTCCTTTATTCAGTCTAACCTTCATGGAAATAAAATGCGCCTGTTCCTATAGTGTTTTAGTAGGTACTAACTACGAAAACATTAAAAATATGTTGTCAAAATGATAAATTTGTGATCATTTTCAGACATTTTTTGGCCCAAAAAAATTGTTTTTTTAAATACTGATAATTTTATAATCTTTTTCGTCCTAAAAAAGGTGTTGAGTGATATGAAATTGGTTTTATTTCATTTTCAAAACTACGGAAACACGAAAAGTCATCCCTCGCTAACGAGCCAACACCGCGTTTTTAAATAGCTAAAGCGAGGAATTATATGTAGCCGTAGTCCTAATTCTTCAAGACCTTTGTCCAGAAACCGTCCTTGAAACGACGAAGCTTACCCTGTTTCCCGGGAAAAGCGTTCCGCGGCCTAAATGCCATCTTCCTCGTTCCCCCAACTGGCAACGCTTGCCCGCCGTCCCTCATCATCCTCCGGGCCCATCTGGGCCCCTCCATGGGGGCCAGGGCCCTTTTTGATTGTGCCCTTCCCGCAGCCCAGAAGCATTGATTCTCGAAGATTACCTCGTTTTCCGCCCTTTTCCTGCGCGTCTCCTAGGAAGGACCCCAAGGCGCTTGCGAACTGGCAATATGCTGCCCCTTCTGCGGGTTTTTTTAGGGGCACTGGCACTTCTGATATTAAAAATTCTCGGCCCAGCACCTCAAGCGAGCAAAAATGGCTGCTGATCCCATATGGCCCCGAACTCTTAGAAATTAAGTATTAGTGAAAAATTAGGTGATTGCCTTTGCTAGATAAAGCCGCCTCCTTTCAAAAATGTGCCTACTGGGCTGGAACCAGGCTTCCGAACCCCTTTAATCGTGGAACTAGCAAGGCCGCTCCGCCCCTTGCTCGTTTCAAGGCCGTTTTTTGTTGCGGCGTGCCCGGGCGACCCGTGAATCCATAGAAATTTCATCGGGCTGCTCGCCAACGCCCTCGGACCCCCTCCCTTATTTGGTCCACCACTACGGTCACCCACCTGTGTCCTGCCGTAATCATTGAGGCCCAATCACGAGTTCAATTCATTTTGATCCAAATTCCGGCCCTACTGGTTTCCGTACTATGACGGAGACCACCGTAAAAAAGAATGGGCCCTGTCTAATCCGATTCCCCAAGGGCGGGGTTTGCCGGATTTCAGAGCAAACTTCCGGCGATAAGTGGATTTGGCGCTGAAGACGACTCCACCATTTGCCCCACGCGAGAATCGATACTCGTGTCATTTATTTGCGCTTCGGAATGGCTATGTTGACTCACCGCCTCCATCCCGGTCGGCGCGGAGGGCTTTGTCTTGCCTTGGTGTTTCGAACATGCGTTTTTAGAAAATTTGATAAGATGCCTGCCGTTGGCGGCCCTCTCTACCGATTCGCCAACACCGCGTGTTTTTCTGATTAGGGCCCGTTTTCTAATTCCTTTTCCTGTTGTTTAGGTTTACAGTCACGTGATTTCAACATTCCGGCGCGTATTCGGCCGTTTGTTGTGTTTTCACTGGCGCGTCTGGCCTTTTTGCGTTGAAACGGCTTCGAATAGGAATTTCACTTCCAAAGGTTATGCGCTGGTTCTCCGCCTACTTTTTCACCCCCAACCGCTATCCGCCGTTCAGTCGGCTAGGGCATTTGTCAGCTGACAACTCCTTTCCCTCCTTCCATTCCCGATAGGCAACCGAGGTCGGGCTCTTTCTGGGGTTCCCCGTTTCCGAACTGCCCAGTTCTCGGTTCGTCACTCAATTGTTCGCCCTTCAAGTCTTATTTTCGCGAAAATGTTTATGGGTTTACGCCATTTTTAAGTAAAGAAAGCTCATAAAACTTATTAAAATGTAGAAAATTTTTGGTTTTTGGGTCAAAAATTGTATGAAAATGGTCAAATTTCAAATTTTTAAATTTTCTTACATTTTTAGAACTATTTGCTGGCCTGCTAAAAATGCTATAAAAATAAAAAAAGCAACAAATGCTGTTAGGTAACTATAGACTTTTCACCCCTCAAAATCTCAGACGATTCGGGTCAGTAATCCCATGCTTCATAGTACTCTGATAATCTTATTTCATAGAGCTCCGCATGTGCTTTTCAGCCAGCATCTCCACCATCCTATGTTGCAATTAAATTATCGGCTGGGCAAGTTAGGCTATTATTGGGTGTTGGCAGCTGCTAGCCGCTCTACTCAGGGTCCTATTTCTCCGCAAATTGAGCGCCCCGGCAGCTTCACCCCCTACTATTGCGCATTCATTTTCTCTGCTCACCTCGGCTCGCCGCCAGCTTCGGCTATGCTATCGATTTTGTGTTATGTGGCTTTGGGAATATCCTCGTCACGGCGGGTTCGATGTGCTCGTTTGTGGGAAACATCCAAGGAGACGGGCAGCCTATTTCACGCGGCGAAATTGTTTTTAAAGGGCAATAACAGGTGTGGGTTCCGGGGGATGCGGGTGGCTTGCTGCCGGCGAGAAAACAACTCGTCTTTTAGCGGCGTGTCTTCCGCAGTAATCGAAGCGTGCTTATTATCGTCTCCTCCCCTATTTACGAGAGATTTTTTCATTTAAAGCTAGGGTAAGAAAGAACAGCCGGCACTCAAGAGATTCAGGATTTTGAGGTAGCTTTTAAGCCATATTTATGGCTAGAGAGTTCATAAAAAACATCAAAATGATCAAAAATTTGGCGAAGAATCTATAAAATTTTCATTTTTTTTTGCAATTTCAAAAATATTTTTAAGACTTTAGTGAAAAAAAAACTTTTAAGAACAATAAAAACACTAAAATACCAATAATGTTGCCAGGGCGATTAGGGTCTAAAGCTATTCCCCCGTACAACCAAGTGTATTTTTTTGAAATGGGCGTCATTTCTAAGGCTTCTACAATTTTCTTGTCCCAAGCTGCTAGACTTATTGGTGACGTCACCACGGCTCTGAAAGAAACGTGGCGGGTGCGCAGAAGCAAGCTTTGGCCCTAGAAATTGGAGCGTTGTTGTGTGGAGGTCTGAGGGCGAAGGGGGGTGAGTTGTGTGATGTCTGTTTGTATGTGTGTGTATGTATGTGCCCATGGGCCCCTTCCCATCTCCTTTTTCGGCAATCCCGGGCCTCCTCCCCCATGGTGGAGAGCATTTTGGCTGCGGGGCGAGAGGCATTCCCCCTTCAGCCACCCGCCACCCATTCATAATTCATCCGCTCGCCTCTTTTCCCCCTGTCTTTTCGCCCTACCCATATTTGCTACTCGTTTTTTTGCCGGCAGCCCGGCTTCGGACAGCTGTATTCATCATAACGGGGCTGAGATGATATTACATCTCGGCGCGGATGTTCTCACGGCCTACCACCCGGCCTCGCACCAGAATTGTACGCATTTATCGACAGCTTTCTTGTCTCCGGCAATAGCTGCGCGTTTTAGTTCGAAATTTTCTTATATCCTTTTCATTTCACGGTTCTTTCTCATTAGGGGGGGCTTTTTCTTGCGGGTTAAAACCGAAGCTACTCCGATGAATCTAGATTTTTTCTCATTATCTCGGGGAGGTGTTTTATTGCGGCGTAAAAACGAAACTTTTCCTATAAAACCGAAACTTTGCGTACGCTTCCAGATTCTTGTTCATTATCGGGGCGGTGGAGGGGTGTTTTTTGCGGGACAAAATCTGACACTTTTCCTATGAATGTGCTTATAAGGAGTGCTTTTTTTTGAGTCATACGCAAATCCTTTCCAAAGATAGTTCATTCGATGGAGAATTTCATTCTGAGTAACGCTATAAGGTTCATTTTTGCAGAATGGCTATCCCCAATTTTATAAATTAAAAAACTAAAACGGTGTTTTCCTACATCCCTCGGCGCACACCGATGGCAGCGGATCGCCACCGGGACAAGGGGGGCCTAGATGGCTTCCCAGTCACGATTGACGATAGCGCAGTCGGTAGCGCGGTTGTCTTTGAAACTTTTTTTGGACTTCTCTGGGAGGTTCGATTCTTCCAAATGTAATTCCTTTTGCTTTTTTATGGTCAATTGCGTTTCCGTACATAGGGATGTGATTTTTGCATTTTTGAGTTGGCAATTGCTTCAAAGTTGGCCAAAGTGAAGTCTCCAGGCCCGAGCCTTGTCACTCTGTTCACCGGGATTTCACTATAGTCGAGCCTGCTCATAGACCGGATTCCATGGTAATTGAAGCCAAAAAGCCATTCCCGCTATAAAATTCAAAAAGCAAAAGAAATTACACGTGGAAGAATCGAACCTCCCAGAGAAGTCCAAAAAAGTATCAAAGACAACCGCGCTACCGACTGCGCTATCGTCAATCGTGATTGGGAAGCCATCTAGGCCCCCTTATCCTGGTGGCGATCTATGCCTGCCATCGGGGCGCGCCGAGGGGATGTATGAAAACTTCGATTTAGTTTTTTAATTTTATAAAATCGGGGATAGCCATTCTGCAAAAATGAACCTTATAGCGTTACTCAGAATGAAATTCTCTACCGAATGCACTATCTTTGGAAATGATTTGCGTATGACTCAAAAAAAGCACTCCTTATTAGCAATAAATGAGAAATATCTGTGGTT